AGGATATGACGGGGGGGTTGGTTGCCCCCTTCTGGTCATTGTCCCCTTCTGGTCATTGTCCCCTTCTGGTCATTGTCCCCAGTTTGCAATGAGTTGTAGCCAAAGTTCTTCCTAATCCTAATGGAGGCTCATTGCTAACAATTGAACCATTTCGGAAGTCCTCCAGGGTGATGACGAGCTGCTGCAGGGGCAGAGGGATTTTTTTGGAATACCTTCTATTGACATTCCCGATTTTTCTTTCCTTGGGTGTGAATCCCATCACCGTACCAGACATGTGTCACCATCAGTAAAGTATCAACAGGTACTGTGTCCGAGGATGAGCCAATCTCTTTGTCGTTGGGAGATTTCCCCTCCACGTCTGTATTGGTGAAAACTGTCCCCTGGACAGGAAGTGAGGGAACGTCTCCCCAGCACGGGCACAGACAGCGCTGTCCTCTCCCATTGTATCTCCCCAGAGTTCTCTATTAAACAATCCTCTGCCACATACCGGTAATAAGTGGAATCTCCACCTTGTTCCTCCAGTGCTCCTGCTATGCTTTTATCTGACACCAAACAAGTGATAATACATTGTAATAACAATCATATAGTTACATTGTATTTATAAAGTCTGCAGGCAGTGCTCTGTCATCACTCGTGCAGCACTGACAAGGACGTTCCTGGTACGCCCAAGGTCCATAACAGATAAATATTATACTGTTATCATGTTATCCCACGGAAGACACATTTGTTATAAATCATCTAGAAGTCGGGTGAGATTGTCAGCTGACATTTTCTTTTGTCTTGCCACAGAGAAGGCCAAAGCCTCTAATAGCCGGGTGCTGGTCCATTGTCTGGCTGGAATCTCTCGCTCGGCCACCATTGCTATAGCGTACATAATGAAGAGGATGGACATGAGTCTGGATGAAGCCTACAGGTAACCTTCCTCTCCGCTGCCTGCACTCCCTAAAACTGACCACTCTGTCAAACTTCATTCATCTATATGAGATCTGGTCTGAATATCAACGATTCCTTTACCAGAATCTCCAATTCAGTTTCTCTTGCAGCCAACATGTCCATTTGTTTAAGGAGAACCTGTCACCTGCCCATTCCTGGCCCCCTCATGTCCCCCAGTCCCTGCAAGTTATCTTCGCCTGCCCATGCTCTCTCACTGCTTACCTTCCCTATTGGAGCCCTTGCTCCATTCCCAGCCATCTCTGAGCACAACAGAATGCCTGTGTTATGGAGGTGAGGAGATGATATGTAGTCCTAGCACACTTTTGCCCGTGATGCCGGGGTCTATCGAGTATGTGATGTCACTGACCCCCTCCATGTCACTGCTTGGGTCTGATGAATGGACACATGCTCTCCTATACCCAGAAGTCCTGGGTATTGGAGAGCATGTGACCCAGAAGTCCGTTTTGTTAGAGCAATGGGGCAAGGGCTCCATTGCTCTAACAAAACGGACTTCTGGGTCACATGCTCTCCAATACCCAGGACTTCTGGGTATAGGAGAGCATGTGTCCATTCATCAGACCCAAGCAGTGACATGGAGGGGGTCAGTGACATCGTGCACCTAGCACATACGCGGTAGACCCCGGCATCGGGGGCAGAAGTGTGTTAGGACTACAAAATATCTCCTCACCTCCATAACGCAGGTATTCTGTTCTGCTCAGCGATGGCTGGGAATGATGTACCTGATAAGCATGCAGCACAGTACGTTATGAGCTCACTAGATTTCAAGCAGGATTAACAGGTATTTTTTGCACTTATTAAACATATGTAACAATTTTTTATTGGTTTATATAACAGACCAAAAGTGATCACTGTTGGGGTTTTCTCTGCAGTCTTTAAGCAGGGATGCCAATCATAGTAACATGGTATGTAAGGTTGAATAAAGACCAAGGCCCATCCAGTTCCACCTAATCTAATCCCAATCCTTGATATATACCTGACCACTAGAGGGAGCATTTCTGACCCTGTATGAAATAAAGTCATTGAAATATGAAAGGGTCGGGTCAGCATGTACATGGATAAGTATTTGGGGGCGGCAGCTTCCATCTGAGACAGAAGGGGGTGTGTGGTGACCCTTTTTCTCCTTTTTCTCCTTTGCTGCAGATTTGTGAAGGAGAAACGACCGACCATCTCGCCAAACTTCAACTTCCTGGGCCAGCTCCTAGACTTCGAGAAAAAGATCAAAACTCAGGGTGAACAGGCGCCGCCCACCGCCGTCTGCAAACTGAAGCTGCAGCTGGGCTATAGCGCCAACGAAAACCACCTCGCTCCCCCCACTATGGAGGGGCACCAACCACAGAGTCCACTGCAAGCTCACCCTACCTCAGAAGAGCCACCGCAAGCCTTGTACCTCGAGGAGGCTCCGCTCCTGCAAGGCCTCAATGGACTGCACGTGTCGCACAGGGAGGACAGCAATAAAATAAAGCGCTCCTTCTCCCTGGACATCAAATCAATGTCTTACTGCAGCCTGTCCGCCGCAGCGTCACTGGTCTCCGCGCCGGAGGACAGCAAAGAGTTCTATAAACCTGCAGCATCCCTGGAGGGAGGTAGTAAGATGTGCCAGTTCTCACCTGTGGAGGAGGTCTCCGAGCAGACGCCAGAGGCCAGCCCCGATCGGGAAGAGGCAAAGAGGGTCCCGGAGATGCCCGCCGGTTGCCGGCCCGCTGAAGACAAACACCGGCAGGCACAGCAGACGTCATCTCGAAGCAGCTTCCTGTCTCAGCGCTCCTTGGCGGCACCCCTCTTCCGCAGCGGCAGCATGGAGGATCACCGCAAAACCAACTTCCTGTTCGGACTATCCAGCAGCCAACAGCACTTGGCCAAGCCAGCGCTGGGCCTCAAAGACTGGCATTCCGACATATTGGCGACCCGGGCCTCGTCGCTCACCGGCAGCTGGTACTTCACCTCCGACGCTCCGTCGCACTTCTATTCCGCCTCCACGTTGTACAGCGCGGGGGCCTTCGCGGCCTACAGCTGCGGCCAGCTGCCCACGGACCCCTCCTGCGCGGTGCGCAGGAGGCCGAAGCCCTGCGCCCGTGGGGACTCTCGGCGCAGCTGGCACGAGGAAAGCCCTTTCGAAAAGCAGTTCAAGCGCCGCAGCTGTCAAATGGAATTTGGGGAGGCCATGGTGGACAGCAGGTCCCGGGAGGAACTGGGCAAAGTGGGGAGCCAGACTAACTTCTCCGGCAGTATGGAGGTCATCGAAGTGTCTTGAGACCCGCCAATCACGGGATGGGGGAGGGTTAGGGAATGGGAGGAGCCAGCAAGCTGGACTTCTCGGGTGTAAAATTAAATTTTATTTTTGTGCTCATCATCTTGTTCCCTGTGAAATCTGAATGTTGTGTCTCGGGGAAACTCACTATGAAAAATGTACAGAAGCCAAAATCTATTCCGGGCGCCATCTCCAGAGCATCGGCGTAGGGTTAGATCGAGCAGAGGGAGACTACAAGTCCAAGCACACCTTCCGAGCAGCTGGCAGGGCACGCCGGCTCCTGTAGCACCTTTTTTCGGCTGGCGAGTTTCCCGTGCCTGGTCTGCGGTGGGCGCAGTTTGGCGGTTTTGGCACTTGAACTCTTTTTGTACACCGCACTTGACATGAACAGAGTTGGTACTCACTGAAACTCTCTTCAATTCCTGAGGGCGAATGTGCGTTCAGGTTTTACATATAAAGAAATTGTACCAATCACAGCGATTTGTAACCAAAACGGAGAGTCTTGTTGATTCTAGAAGGGGGGTAGCGGCTGAAATCTTCATTTTTAATCACTTTTATCTCGGGGTTGCAAAGGAAAATCCTTCATCTAAATCTTCTTCCTTTTTCATAGTTGGTTCTGATAGGCTGGAATTTTTTTAGTTATTGGAAGAGGGACGCAAATTGCATCGACATCCCCTATAGGGCTTCTAGGGAGAAATTCACAGGGGTGGCAGAGGCCTGTCAGCGCCTCAGTAAAGGAATGTAACGGGGTTACAGGTGGAGGGTATGGCGTCACTGAAATGTTCCGGAATTCAATGTAAACTTGTTACAAACCTTTTGCCAGTCCCAACTGTGCAAGTAGAGGCGACCTTCTGTGAAAAAGGCATGCCAAAGTGATCACTGGAAGTTGCATGCTTGTACAGGAAATGGGATAGTTGCCTGGTATCTGTCACTCCAATCATTGTTGTCACATGCAGGTTTAAAATGATTCTATCCTCGGCTTATAGATTTTTGAATGAATCCTGATGGTGACGAGTTTACTTGCTGACCTGAAAAAAGTAGCAGATAAGAGTTTTCTGCAACATTCCTGATCATGTCTGAGGACCAGCTAGGCTAC